CACACCCCAGACATGTGTGCTCTGACTGGAAATCGAATTGTGATACCTTAGTTCATAGGTTGGTGCTCAAAGACTGAGCCACGCTGGCCAGGCTACAGTTTTCATCAAATTCAAGTTCTAAAGTCTAAGCATCCACACTTAAACATTGATACCTACTAAATGTCAATTATACTTTAATGAGGGGCCTGGTGCACAAAATCGTGCAGGGGTGAGGGGTGCGTTGGGGTGTACCTCAGCCCACCCTGCACTCTCCAATCTGGGAGCCCTCAGGGGATGCCCTACTGACAGATTAGGTCTGCTTCACGTGGTTCTCCGCTTTCTGTGGGGGCCCACGGCCAGGGGCAAGCAGTCTCCCCCAGTCTGCTGTCTGCTCCCTTCTGCAGGGAACATTCCTTTCCCCGGCCCCAGCCACTAGCATGCACACCATGAGTGCCGGGGTCTGGGGGATGCTCCCACCCTGCCCCTGGCCGCTCAGTGCCTACATGTGGGCCTACAGGCTCAGAGTGGCCTAGCTCCCGAGGACACCTGTCCCCAGGACGCAGGCTGCTTGGTGCCAGCATACACGCAAGTGGCTGCAGGGCGGGAACACATAACGGATGTTCCTGCCCCTGTAGGCCTGGAGGGGCCGGGGGCATTCCTGAATTTCCTGAATGGCCTGAGTCCTAGGACACCCACCCCTGGGATCCAGACCACTTGTCGTTGGTGCAAGCAGCTGTCCCACCCCCGGCCGCTTGGTGCCTGTGTATGCAAATAAACCTGCCATCTTTGTTGGGTTAATTTGCATACTCACACCTGATTTGGCTGGTGGGCATCGTGAGTCAAATGCATCTTTCTCTTTTATTAGTGCAGATAAAGCTGGGGATGGTGGGGTGGGCAATGGGGAGATAAGGACACATACGTAATACCTTAATCAATAAAGAAAACAAAATTAATAAATAAAGCTGAAGAGGGCACGGAGAGAACAAACCCATGGATATCCAGTCTCAACTATTTTATCTTATGGGTCTTTGCTATCTTTTAATATTTTAATTATCCTATATAATAAAGAGGTGATATGCAAATTGATGATCACTTCAACACACAATATGGCCGCCCCCATGTGGACACAAGTTGGCTGCCACAAGATGGCCAGCAGGAGAGGGCAGTTGTGGGCTATCAGGCCAGCTGGGAAGGACCAGGCCTGCAAGGGAGAGCAGTTGAGGGAGATCAGGCCTGCAGTGGAGGGCAGTTAGGGGCAATCGGGCCAGCAGGGGAGCAGTTAGGCGTCCATCAGGCTGGCAAGGGAGTGGTTAGGGGGTGATCAGGCTGGCAGACAGAGGCGGTTAGGGGCAATCAGGCAGGCAGGTTGGGAGCCAGTAGTCCTGGATTGTGAAAGGGCAGTCAGACATCCCTAGAGGGGGTCCCAGAATTTCGTGCACCAGGCCTCTAGTACAGGTATCAAACAAGACTACATTTCAGCTATATCACCTGCCTTATGAAATGGACAAAGTTGATAAAAAGTCTTTTGGTACAAAAGTTCAAGCTCTCCCTATATGTCTATATGTATCCCATAATCATTCAGCTATCTACAGAGAGATAATCAGAGGTGGTAGGACTGCTGGCTTAACTCTGAGCAACAAAGAAAGTTAGTGGAAGATTTTAGTCTGGAGCTTTATTTATTTTAAAAGAGGTGGCTATCATTCCACTTGTTGAGAAGAGCCTGAGCAGGGAAGGGTCAGAAGCAGTGAGGCCAGCTACCATAATCATTCAGGCAAGAGGTAATGTGACTTGAATCAAGGTGGTAGTAGTGAAGCTACTAAGATTTTGGAAGTCCTACCAACAGAACTTACAGACAGGGTACAGAGTACCAGAGAAAGAAGAACTAAGGACCACCATGATGAGACTTTGTTCTGAGCAAACGAGGGGATGTAACTGCTAATAACTTAGATGGGGTGAACCAAGTTTTTGGTTAGGGGGAATATCAATCAGTTCAGTTTCCAACATGTTTAAGTTTGAGATAAGCCTAGAGGAGTTCAGGTAAGATAAATTTGTGAGTTGCTAGTATGTAAACCATGAAGTTATGAGATCAGATGAGTTTACCAAGGAAGTGAATATTGATGAAAAGGAGCACAGGTTAGGACTTAGTCCTGAAGCATTTTTTGTAAAATATATTTTATTGATTTTTTACAGAGAGGAAGAGAGAGAGGGATAGAGAGTTAGAAACATCGATGAAGAGAGTCATCAATCAGTTGCCTCTTGCACATCCCCTACTGGGAATGTGCCTGCAACCAGGGTACATGCCCTTGACCAGAATTGAACCCAGGACCTTTCAGTCCGCAGGCCAATGCTCTATCCATTGAGCCAAACCAGTTTTGGCAGTCCTGAGGCATTTTTATATGCAAAGCTCCAGAGAGGGAGTAACCAGTTAAGGAGTCAGAGAATGAGCATAGGAAAAGGGAACAGAATTGATATCATGGAAACCAAGTTGGGGGGCAGGAGGGGAGGTATCTCTTAACATTGCAAATAAATATTCATTAATATCACTGAACAATAGAGCTAGGGATCTTGGAGATGACCTTACAGGTACAAACAATGGGGCCAAGAAATTCAGTAAGTTGCAAAAAGCAAAAAAATCAAATGAAAGACAGAAGATAAAGTTAGGCAGATGTATTCTCACTGTTCAATGTTTAACAATATGAAATGTAGATCAAGAAACTAGATCCCAGGAGATGATATACTGAGTGGGAAGCCTTACACAGATGTGCTATTAGAATGAAAAAACAAAACAAAACCAGCAACTCTTGCCTGTTTATCCAGTTACTAAATAAACCAAATCGCCCATACACTGAATGTTGTCATTCCTGTCTCACCTTGTTCAGGTTCCTTTCTTTCCCTTCCTTAACAAATCAAACACAGAAGTTACTTCAATGTCTTTATGCTCCTTGCTTGTCTGCAACCTGGGCACATGCCCTGATGGGAAATTGAACCAGTGACCTCCTTGTGCATGGGTCCACACTTAACCACTGACCAACACCAGCTGGGCCCCAATGTCTCTTTATACTTCTTAGTCTTTTCATCCATTTTCAGAATAGGCCTAGACATAAAACAATTCACTTCATCCTGTCAACAGCCTTATGAAGGAAGTATTAACCCCATATTTTTTTCCAGATGAATTAACTAAGGCATAAAGATTAAGTGATTTGCTCAAGACTACATTGTTCAGTAAATGGCAGAACCAAGATTTGAACATTTTGAACATAATGACTCCAGAGTAAGAAGTTAAAAAAAAAAAAAAAAAAAAAAGCTTACAGATTTTGAGAAAGAGAGGAAGGGAGAGGGAGAGGGAAAAGGGGAAAGAGGGAAAAGGGGAGAGGGGAGAGAGTGAAACATGGATTAGCTGCCTCCTGCCTCTGACTGGGATTGAGCCTGAAACCCAGGCATGTGCCTCGACCAGGAATCAAACCTCTAGAGTAGGGGTGTCGAACTCAATCAGAGAAAGGGCCAAAATCTAAAATCCAGCCTAAATCTCGGGCTGAATGGTTTACTGAACAGTCATAAACTGTCATTGTGATGGAAACGCAGCGGAGTGCAGTGATGACAGCGCGGTGCGGGCCACATTGCAAGGCCTGGCGGGACGGATTTGGCCCGCGGGCCTTGTGTTTGACACATGTGCTCTAGAGGCATGGGACAATGCAAAATCAAGTGAGCCACACAGACCTGGGTCAAAGTAAGAACTCTTAAAACACTATGTTAAGATCAAATCAGACAAAATATGTGAAAGCACTATAAATTTCTGTGCAAATGAAGATATCACCTACAAAGGTACTTCTTGGAAGCTGAAAATCTAAATGAACACTTTTCACATTTTTGTTGGGTAACACCATCTAAGTCAGAGCTGATTATTTCAATACGTTCTTTTTAGTCTTTAACAAACATTCAAAATAACAAAAAACAAATTTACCAAAAAAAAAATGAAGTCCAAAACTTCTCAAGAGGTAAGCTAGCATCTGACATTACTTAATAAGCTTGTATTAAAAATATAGACTGTGATCTCAATTATAACATTTTCAATTACTTAAATACATAAATCTTAAAATCATTGCCCAAACAAGAGAAATGGTAATACACAGTGGGCAAAAGTAGGCTTACAGTTATGCATATGCAAAAGTTTATCCTTTTTTTTTTTTAAATTAATATATTTTATTGATTTTACACAGAGAGGAATTGAGAGGGACAGAGAGTTAGAAACATCGATGAGAGAGAATCATCAATCAGCTGCCTCTTGCACACCCCCTACTGGGGATGTGCCCGCAACCAAGGTACATGCCCTTGACCGGAATCGAACCCGGGACCTTTCAGTCCGCAGGCCGACGCTTTATCCACTGAGCCAAACCGGTCCCGGCAGTTTATCCTTTTTTAAAAAAAATTATTTAAATGATATTTTACAGAGAGGAAGGGAAAAGGATAGAGTTAGAAACATCGATGAGAGAGAAACATCAATCAGCTGCCTCCTGCATACCTCCTACTGAGGATGTGCCCGCAACCAATGTACATGCCCTTGACCAGAATCGAACTCAGGATCTTTCAGTCCACAGGCTGAGGCTCTATTCACTGAGCCAAACCAGTTAGGGCTGTGGTCAGCAAACTGCAGCTCACGAGCCACACGCAGCTCTTTGGCCCCTTGAGTGTGGCTCTTCCACAAAATACCACGGCCTGGGCGAGTCTATTTTGAAGAAGACGCATTAGAAGTTTTAAGTTTAAAAAATTTGCTCTGAAAAGAAATTTCAATCATTGTATTGTTGATATTTGGCTCTGTTGACTAAAGAGTTTGCTGACGACTGGGTTAGGGCAAAACAGCTTATTCTTGAATTGCTATTTATTGTATTATTTGCCATATGAACAACTATAAATCTAGTTTTGCCCACCTCTGTATATTCAGCTTTGAAGCAGTACTCATTTTAACACTCCAAATATAGTCTTGGAATTCATATGGGAGAGAAGGTAAACGAAAAATCTCTTACCATTGATCTTTCAGGATATCCAAACAAATAGCCCCTGTGACAGAACTAATATTAGGATGCCATATTTTAGTGATAAACCGGACCTAAAAATACAAAGCATACACGTTTTTAAATAACAGAAATAAAACACATATAGTTTAAATAGAATTACAAGAGAAAGAAATCCTCATATTTAAAAAGAGTGCCTATTTTTACATCAATAAAAATATATATTAAAAAAAAAACTCAATGGAAAAATATCCTTGCATAAGGATTAACAATAATCACAACAAAAAATTAGAAAACCTATGGTGCCATTTGAGGTACTGGAAATATAGAGGGGAACACTATGTAAAGTATATGATTGCCTAATCATTAAACTATACACCCAAAACCAATACATAATAAAATAAAAAGAAATTTAAAAAATCAACTTTGCCCAGTTGGTGAGGCTCAGTGAACTAGGTCACAAACATAAAAGATAAAAACAGTGAACATCTCTAAGTGGTCATATAGAAATTTTGTTTTCTATTTTTCTTTGTACTTCAATATATAACTTTCCTGTACAAAAAACAAACTACTTTTATAATAATAATAATAATAATAATAATAATAATGAAAAAGAAATGAAAAAAAAAATTTGTGTGAGTTCTCTACATCTTGGAACACCAAGTTTTTCCAGACCTAGAATTTAAGCCATTTAATGTAACTGCTAATAACTGTTATTATTAGCACATCCTATTATTCCAGCCTAGAGCCATTATTAGATGCCTGAGTAAGCTTGCTTTTCATCATAATTCTAGAAGCTGTCTTCCATTATCTGAAATCTTGTCCACATTAAATTTTCATAGTGAATAACTCAAAACATTCTAATTTTAATAAGCACTAAAATATATGTTATTAATTAAGTGGGCCAAGAGAAATATTTTAGAAGTTCATGTACAAAAATAGGCTTACAATACCTTAGGGGGATTAAATGGATATGTTTCTGGTATTTTTATCTCCAGTTGATATCTTCCTCCTAAAAAATGGGGAGAACAGAAAGTTAGGAACACTGCTCATCTGAACATATAAAACAAATATAGTGGTAGAAATTTCAAACCATGTAGTATTTTATATTCAATTACAACAAACTAATTTTAAAGTTGCAACCAAAAAAGGATATAATCAAAAGCACAATTTTTAAAATTTAAAGCATACAGAATACCCATTTTATACAACTATATTAGCTTATTAGTGAATAATAGGGCTAGACATAGATAAATACATTAAATCCAGACAATCCAATGCCAAAGATTTGATTGGGATAATTATACAATATACACCCTGTCTCCTTTGTTTCTTCTTAGTCCACACTGACAAGAGATGTTAAATAGTGGAAAAAAGAAAAATAGAAAGCAGGGAGGTATAAAGGCACAGATGGCATAGAGGTAAAGGATATATAGATTATGCCATAAACGGAAAAAAGTCTACTTCTAGCTGGTTCTCTCATAAGCAAAAATGTCTAAAATTTTTAACTTGTGTCCTAAATTAAATAACATTGCTTGCTATATTTTCAAAATAAAATTCAACAGTAACAGGTATGCCTAAAGACAAAAACTTTTGTCTCTAAATAGGTGTACAAAATGCAGAGGTTTACAAAGAGATAGTTCTAAGAAGGCAATATTCTGTTTTGAAGTTATATTGAGCAATTAGCAGCTAAATACATATTTTAAAAAGTTTATCTAGCTTCCCATACCTGGGAGAATAACAGCCTCTCAGGAAACTCTGAAGGGGAAAACCTTGCACTTGAATGAGAAGCTAGATTTGAATATTAACTCTATAGAACCTAATTCTAAGACCCATTAAAATACAACAGTAACTATTCAAAAATATAGCAAAAAAAACCCAAAAAAAAAACCTTGTGCTACCAGAATATTTACATATGAAACTATACCTGGGATTTGCTTCAAATAATCACGGAATGATCAGATCAAAGACTGGCCATGAGTTGAAAGCCTTTAAAGCTGGCCGGTGAATATATGGAGAATTCATTATACCATCTACCTTCTTCTATAGATATCTGAAATTTTCCATAATAAAAAGCCCTAGCTGGTTTGGCTCAGCAGATAGAGCATCAGCCTGTGGACTCGGAGTCCTGAGTTCGATTCCAGTCAAGGGCACATGCCCGGGTTTCAGGCTTAATCCCCAAAAGGGGGGCATGCATGAGGCAGCAGATCAATGATTCTTTCTCATCACTGATGTTTTCTCTCTCTCCCTTTCCCTTCCTCTCTGAAATCAATATAAAATATATTTTTTTCAAAAAGTAAAATAAAAACTATGTGCTAGGAGCAATATTAACTTCAAAATTCCATACATTCAACTCTCAGTATATCATAAATTCTCTCAAATACTCCTCCACTGTTAGAAATAGGTAGGTAAATGTGAATCTGGGAAAAATAAAAGCAATCCACTTGGTTCCTGTTTCTTCAAACCCTTTTTGGTTCCAATTCTTCTTTTCTTGCTAATTCTTTTTAATAGAGTCCCAAAGTGACTGATACATGAGTTGAACTAGATGCCTGAATCATAGAGCATATGGCAGCAGTGAAATATATAGGAAAGTAGTCAAAACAAAAGGAACAAAAATTAAGATAGACGAGTAATAGGAGAAATTTTGTGAATACAAAGATAACTCTTTATGTTCAGTTATAAATGCTAGCTTCAAATACAGGCATAATAAATCTTGCCTGAAGAATATGCAGATTCTTTTTCTTTCCTAAGAAACTTACTTTATATATAAATAATGCTGAATCCTAGACTCCCCAATCCTATTTCTATTCCACGTCCTATTAATATGCTGTCTTGAATTATTTTTTGTCCTGAATTATTACCCGATAACTTTCAATATCTAATCATAGCATTATTTGGTATACACCAGAGCAACACAATTAAGGGAGCTTTATAACTACATTATTCATATTACAATAAGTTTCCCTATAAAACATTTTATTTTTGTTATTAACTTTTAATAATAAAATTTTATCACTTTTATATTCAACTTAATCCAAATGAATGGAATGTGATGAGATTTTTTTTAAAAATCAACAATTCCATAAATTCAAAACAACTCTTAAGGAAAAAGGCTCAAGAACTAAATTGTTCCTTTCCCACTGAGCCATTATGAAATGAGAATTAAGTAACATGTGTAATACTGTAATTTTCCCATGGGTGTTCTACTTCTCAATCTGATTACTTTTAACACTGCATAAAATAGCTACCTCATTATTTAATAATGATTATAAACAATTTAACGCCCCACAGGTAAATTTTTGCCTTAGCTAAAAAAAAAAATCTCAAAAACTAGTTAAAAGCCCCACAATAAATATTATCTAACTATTTAACCATGTTTATATATTTTTAAAAAGTAGTATATGTTGCCCTGACTGGTTTTGCTCAGGATAGAGCCTTGGCCTGTGGACTGAAGGGTCCCAAGTTCTATTCCAGTCAGGGGCATGTACCTTGGTTGCAGACACATCCCCAGTGGTGTGTGTGTGTGTGTGTGTGTGTGTGTGTGTGTGTTTGTGTGTGTGTACACATCCCCAGTGGGGGGTGTGTGTGTGTGTTTGTGTGTGTGTACACATCCCCAGTGGTGTGTGTGTGTGTGTGTGTGTGTGTGTGTGCGCGCGCAACTGGTTGACGTTTCTCTCTCATAGATGTTTCTAACTCTATCCTTCTCCCTTCCTCCCTGTAAAAACCAATAAAATATATTAAATTTTAAAAAGGAGTATATGTTTATGCCTTTGAATATGCTTTTCCTAAACAAAGTTAATATTTCTCTGCAAATTTTATATAAAAATACAATTTAAATTTATCTATCTTAAATATATACCCCAAAAACATTAAAATTAATCTCATCAAATATTAATGTCTCATATAGTGGCAGCTGTGGAAATAAGCACTTAAAAACCACCAAACTTGTTTCTAATTAGCAAAGAATGTTATATTTATAATTTAATCATCTTACAAATAGTGTCTATGTTCCAATTTTTTAAATTATATACCTCTCTTAAGGATTGCCAAGAAAGTAGAGAACATTCTGCCATTTAATTCAGGAAGTACCTTGTTTATATGTAGCCAACTAAAAAGAACTCTAGAATGATGTTACTGCCCTATTATCTTTAAAACATCTGAACCTAAAAAGAGTAATTCAAGAATATTTATAATGTCTGCCTTCAGGAAGAAGCTAGTACAGTCGTCCTTCAATATCTGCAAGGGATTAATTCTAGACAAACTTCCAAAATTCACAGATGTTCAGGTCCCTTACGTTGAATGATATAGTATTTTCATATAACCTATGCATATCGTCCCATATGCTTTAATCATCTCTAGATTACTTATAATATCTAATGCAATGTAAATGTTATGTAAATAGTTGTTACAGTATATTTATATTGTTCAGGGAATAATGACAAGAAAAAAGCCTATACAACCACCATATATCTAACTACATTAATATACATCAGCAAAATGTAACATCCTCCTTCCTCAAATACTTTCATCTGAAGTTGGTTGGATTCACAGATGTAGAACCTGGAGATATGCAGGACCAACTATATATCATTACATACAACACCTGCTATTAAGAAAAGAACCTGATTTTTATAAGATAACAAAGATCTATTATTTAATGATTGTCAAAAGGACTAAATGAATAGCTTCCATGAAAGCATCTGAATGAGGCCTGGCAATATAAGGAGACACTCAATGAATAATATAAAAATTTAAATATCTAAAAATGACTCATATGAACCATAAAAAAAAAATTATTATTTAAGATTTGGTAAAGACATTTTTAGGGTCTTTAAAATTTGAAATAAAATAAATATAAAATAAAATATTCTAGTATACTACATTCTTCTGAAAAAATTTGGAGTAAATGTTCATTATAGGATTATAGAACCACGACATTTAAAATAGGCAAAATCACCACTTCTAATATTCAGTCAATCCTGATTTACTTAAAAAAACAGAAAAGTGATGAGAAATATATGCTTTGAAGTCAAAGGCTGAGACTGAAATCCCAGCTGTGCCACTCAGATGACTTTAGACAAGTTACTTCTCTGAGCTTAAGGTGTTTCTTCATCTATGAAACATTGACAACTGTACTTACCTTATAAGATTTGTTGTAAAAACTGAATGAAAAAAATACATGTAAAACTCTAACAGTAAAAACTCAGTAAGTGTTAATACTACAAATTGTTATATGATTTCTATAAGTATTTAAATGCCTATTATATGCAAGAACCTTGGTTATGCTACATAACCCAAACTTATATTCATTACTGAAGATTTGCCTAATGAAGAAATATTGTAAAAAGCTATAATGCTTTTTGTATCTTACCACCCAATTTCATGGTCTAAAATAGCTAGAGACTTAGTCTGTGAACATAAAATTCAGCAAAGCTGCCTCCTTTCTTTTTTATGTATCTTGAAACAATCACGAAAAGCTTTCCTGAATTATGAAAATCAAATATTTGTAATACAGCTTATAAGAAGACATACGTGAATGAAATGCTCAATGACAAACAGGGGAGAGGAATTTTAAAAATATATAAGTATTTTTATCAGTCAGAAATTTAAGGCAAGGTTTGTTATAGACACCATATGGAAGGGTAACTGAAAGTCTATAGTCCATATAAGTTAGATGCTTAACAGATATGCTTTATACTATTAAATTCTAACCTATATAAGCTGTAACTTGACTCTACTGAATCTATTTTTGGAAAATAAAAAAATTAGCTAAAATTCAGTAAGAAAAATAAGTCCAGATAAGTATCTATTTTTATTATTTAAAAATTGCTATATATCCTAAGCTAGGGGTGTCGAACTCAATCAGAGAAGGGGCCAAAATCTAAAATCCAGCCTAAATCATGGGCCGAATGGTTTACTGAACAGTCATAAACTGTCATTGTGATGGAAACGCAGCGGAGTGCAGTGATGACAGCACGGTTCGGGCCACATTGCAAGGCCTGGTGGGACGGATTTGGCCCGCGGGCCTTGTGTTTGACACATGTGTCCTAAGCCAAATGAAATTACCTCCCATTTAATTTATAATATATGCTTAAGTTATTCTGATTTAATGTTTCAGACAAGTTCTAATACGCACAATATTTTGATACAGAAAAAAGTACTTGCCTTCATATGGTGTGTCTGGAGGTCCTGCTATTTCTCCTCTTAATTCTGTAAAATTCTCATCTACAAGATCTACTTTAATTTGATTTTTGCTCGTCTTAAAAATAAACAGAAAATAAATGTTAGTTATATCAGCAAGAAAAAAGCCTATTATAAAGTATTATCTATAAAAATTTTGAAACCCCCTATTTCCTTAGCTTGGTTATCTGCTCTAGTAAAAATAATAGTCTTGTGTTTTTCTAGGACTTAACTAGCCAGTTTTAAGAATATTTAAAACAAACAAAAAATAATAATAAAGTTTTCACTTCAATGTTTTCAATGAAATAAAACTACTTTGAACAATAGTACAATGGCTTATTGACTTTATAAGAATGTTTAGAGAAAAACAGCAGACATTTATATTTGCCAACTTCATGTATGTTAGGTACAAAGGGATAAATCTATTCATTTGTAGACTAACACTGAGATACTATACCCCCAGGTTACATGGACTCTATCCATATAAATAGAAAAATCAGAGTCAATAAAAGCCATTTAGGCTATAAGCTCTCACTTGAAATAGTCACAACTCTAGATGTTTAGATTAACTGAAATATTACACCATCCACCCAGATGGTAAAAGCTCTAAGCATCTAATTGACTTCTCTTTCCATAAAAATTCCTGAAGCCTAATTGCCTCCCTAGAATTGTCTAATGCCTTCTTCAATTTGTTTTTCTACTCAGTTTACTTCAATGGCAACAGCCTCCTTTCTTTCTTTCTTTCTTTCTTTCTTTCTTTCTTTCTTTCTTTCTTTCTTTCTTTCTTTCTTTTTTTTTTTTTTTTTTGAGATATAATAGCAATGAAATCAGATTTGTATGAAATCAAAACATTCTTCTTGGCTCCTAGCTCTCTGCCTCCCTGGCCAGCCTATCTATCCTCAAAGCCATAACCAGTCTTTCTCTTGCTCTCTTCAGTCTCAGAGCCTGTCTCTGGATATCTCCACAGGTAACTGGTTGCCTGCAAAGAAGCTGTAGGCCACAGAGGCCTGCTCCTGGGTGGCAACAGCCTACTTTCAAAACAGATTTTTATTTTAAATTTATATACCATCTATTTATTCAGCATATTACACTACTTCTCAAAGTACTTTATTATCAATAGTATCACTTCTCAATCTGTTTGTTATCAGAGTTGATCAATGGTGATTCAGAAAACCCTACATTGGGATTCACATTGATGTTCACAAGTACCTGTCAACATGAAAACATAACTTGTATAACAAATAGTGTCCCTTTAGGTAAGCTGCTGTTCCTTCTTGGGTCTTCCCAGCATGATCAAAGAGTCAGGCGTCTGTAAGTGTCTTAAGCAGGGCAGGAACCTTGTCAGTTCTGCAGCTTACAAAGTTCACTCTGAGGCTGGAAGAGAGGTCTGACCGAGCAGGAGGGCCTTACCCCACCGTTTGCCTACAATTTCCAGCTGTCTTTCTGGGACAGTCTCTAAGGTGAGGCCCAGAGTTCATTCTGGAGGATCCTGCAACCTCACTCTTCTACTTCACCATTGGTCACTTCCTTCCTTTTTTCCTTTTGCACCCCAATTCATTCCCTTTTACTGGCTCTAGTAAAGAATACCTTTAAAAGATGAAGTTTGAACTGAAGGCAGTTCAACTTAATATACAACTTAATATACAAGTTATGTTTTCATGTTGGTCCTCTAACATTAATTACAAAAACCTTCTCCATTTATATTTTCTGGCCTATACTAGCATCTTACTGCTCTATATTTTTAATAGTTTGTCCTCCCCTTTTCTTAACTTTTAAAAATATAAAGCCTTAATATACAAGTTATGTTTTCATATTTTTTGGTTAGGATTTAATATTTTTACCTAAGTAACACAATATTATCTACTCTTATGAAAATAAGCCTAGCAAAACCTCAAGAATAAATTTTTGCTTTTGAACCTACCTTCTTAGTCTTGTTTCCTCTCCCCACCCCAATAGAAGCTACTATTTTTACTATTTCCATACTAAACTGTTTTAGTACAGAATGTTAAGTACAGAAAAAAGATACAATTTAAAACCTAAATTTTAAGTTTCATGACTCCTAATTAATCTTATCTTTTAATAAGAGCATAAGATAAAAAACTTTATGCATTTTGCCGAAACCAGTTTGGCTCAGTGGATAGAGCGTCAGCCTGTGGACTGAGAGGTCCCAGGTTCGATTCCGGTCAAGGGCATGTACCTTGGTTGCAAGCACATCCCTAGTGGGGGGTGTGAATGAGGCAGCTGATCGATGTTTCTGTCTCATCCATGTTTCTAACTCTCTATCCCTCTCCCTTCCTCTCTGTAAAAAAAAAATCAATATATTTAAAAAAACACTTTATGCATTTCAAAATTAAACATCCTAATTAGTACTGGCTTGTTTGCTATCATTTTTTTATACTTGAGATTAAAGTATTTCATATATTTCTGAAGACAATTTTATTCCCCAAATTAAAATTATAAATATGCATAATGAGAAATATCTTCCTGTGCTCTAAAAAAATCATTATTACCCTGGTATTTGTAGCAGAGGATTAAGTGTACAGTTTAAGCAATTATAATAAAATATTGTGTCCAGTATGCACAGCAATTAATATTAAAATGAAAATCAAAGGCATCAGACAATTTAAGGAGCCACAAGTATAACTATAGATTTCCGTTTCTCTCTGAAGATTTATAAGTAATACAAGAGAACCGTATTTTCCGGCGTATAAGACGACCCCCTAATTTTACAGTTAAAACATAGGTTTAGGCCTTTATTCGCTGTATAAGACTACCCCCCACTTCCGCGGCAACACCAGTTCTTTTTTTAATAGACCGCCTCTCTGACTCTGGCCAATCCAAGCAGGCTTTTTATGCATGCAAATTATACATGTTCTATACCCGAAGCTACACTGTGTTCTAGTAAAAAGCCTGCTAGGGTGGTGGTATAGTGTCATCCTAGAATTCCAAGTGAGGTGCTTTCTATCCGTCCTCCTTTCTCTGTTCCCTCTGCTGAGACCTGAATTCAGACCACTGAAAAAGCCCGGTTGACTTTTTTTCGTTTCAAAAGTCGTTTTACACGCCAGAAAATACGGTGATCAGATCTTGCAAATCATTAATGCTTTCAAAGTTCTCTACTATTTTCCACAATATACCTTTACCAAAAAGAAGTAAATAACCAACAATGTGAGGATACTAAAGGATAGGATTAAAGTTTGGAGAAAGAGAGGAGGAGGTAACAAATTAGAAAAGCTGCCTTCTAAATTGCACCCAATTGTCTTGGTAAATAAAATGGTAAGTAAACATTATTAATTTTTATACCCTGTCTTTATTTTTGTCCTCATTACCCCAAATTATAATTGAGAAAAATGGGTTTCTCACTCTATGAAAGATTTACTAAATTAGCTCAAGAAAATGCAACTACCATAATGAAATCTATTATATATCGGGTAGAAGTATTCTATATGATCTAGAGTAGGGTCTTTATTTGCCGAGAAAATGGAGAATGAAAGACAAAGATTTTTCACAGCTTCATTTTTCCATTATACAATTATCCTTTATTACCTCCACAGTTTAATTCAAACATCCAATTGTTCCACAATCCAGAACTCCGATTCTGTGCCCCCACAAACTAATTAAAATCCCACTTAAAACTGAGTTAAAAGAAAGACATGGAAAATAGCAAAAGATGACAAATAGTATTAGAAAAGGCATGACCTTTGGGGTCAGATAGATGTGAACTGAATCCTACTTCTGCCAATCACTTGTGGTATTAATTCAGGTAAGTCACTTAACTTCTCTCAATTTTATTACTGTAAAATGAGAATACATCTCAGAATTACGTATATGAGAATATCCTGGATAGAAGTAGAGAATGTTGGTCCTCTAACATTAATTACAAAAACCTTTGCTTTCAAAGCTTTATTTTATAAAATGTACTCACAGTTGTTTCAGTCTAATACGAATGTTAAGTTCTAAAAGTAAACCACAGGCTCCCTTTCCAGCATTCACTAAAGATGAGCACCTGGTCGGTGCAGGCACAGGAAACAGTGCAGCAGTGAGGCAGTCATTAGACTTTCTAGATGGTATGGCCTCAGTCCAGCCTTAGAGTGAAGCGGGCTGGCAGTGCCCCTACAAATAGTGTCCCTTTAGGTAAGCTGCTGTTCCTTCTTGGGTCTTCCCAGCATGATCAAAGAGTCAGGCGTCTGTAAGTGTCTTAAGCAGGGCAGGAACCTTGTCAGTTCTGCAGCTTACAAAGTTCACTCTGAGGCTGGAAGAGAGGTCTGACCGAGCAGGAGGGCCTTACCCCACCGTTTACCTACAATTTCCAGCTGTCTTTCTGGGACAGTCTCTAAGGTGAGGCCCAGAGTTCATTCTGGAGGATCCTGCAACCTCACTCTTCTACTTCACCATTGGTCACTTCCTTCCTTTTTCCTTTTGCACCCCAATTCATTCCCTTTTACTGGCTCTAGTAAAGAATACCTTTAAAAGATGAAGTTTGAACTGAAGGCAGAAAGCACATTTTAACCTGCTGAGAGTGGTACGCCTCTGGGGACATGGGAGCCAACATCAGAAGGAAGTCCATCCTCCTTTTCAGAGAACTGCCTAGCACCGTGGTCTGCAAACTGCAGCTCGCGAGCCACATTGGCGCCTTGAGTGTGGCTCTTCCACAAAATACCACGGCCTGGGCGAGTCTATTTTGAACAAGTGGCATTAGAAGTTTAAATTTAAAAAATTTGGCTCTCAAAGGAAATTTCAATTGTACCGTTGATATTTGGCTCTGTTGACTAATGAGTTTGCTGACTACTGGAGACTACTGGAAAGATTAACCTAGTCCGAGTCACTCACCCTGTGCCACCTAACTCAGTCCACACTGCCTGTAACCTGTAACTTATACCTTGCCTACTTTCCCATGTTCATAATTGTTAGTTTCCCATATACCCGTATTTTCCGGCGTATAAGACGACTTTTGAAACGAAAAAAAAGTCAACCAAAAATCAGGGGCAAAAGACCAAAATTGCACAAAAATTACCTGCAGATCTTGACGGCAAAGTAAGTCTTTTCTTTGAAGTGGGGGGTAGTCTTATACAGCGAATATAG